TTCGATGCGGTTGGACCTTCCGGTGGCAACGACCGTTCCACAAATTCCCGTTAAATTGTAAAGAACGCGCGAGGCATTTTTGGTCCCGTGTTTCGCGAATTCCGGCGCCGCTGCTTTCAAGCAATTCTCATCGGGAACGAATGCTTCTCCGTCGTTTCGAAGCGGTGGCAATGGTATTTCTAGAACCGAGGCCGACGCACCGTGGCCCAGTTTAGCGGCACTAGTCGTTTCTGGCCTACATCGAGCGTCGTGTACTTACGCGATACGATTCGAGGCCGTGAAAACCGTTTCCCGGCGGAGAACCGACAGTATGATTCGCTTTGGGCTCGAAATAATTCATTGAATGACGGATCGTGTGGATTAGGTTGATGAGAAACTAACTTAATTGCATGTGAACCGGCTGACGCGCGGAAATCGTCGCCGAGTATTCGTTATTCACCGAACACACCACTTATGCATCGATTTCAGAGTTTTTGATTTTGCTTTAAGGATACACGGATGCAATGTGGCGGGGCAATTAATTTCATTATGTGTATAGAAATGAGTTTGAATATGGATAAGTTTGAAAATATGATGAGAAGTTTGAATATGAAAAAGTTTGAAAACATGAAGATTGAGTTTATTTTAGTGAGATATTAAACATAATTTAATTGATGAAAATAATAGCCTTAATTCTAACGTCATCGTGTAATATTGCTTAACGTTTTTATATATCGTATCTGTGACTTTTTTGTCTTTTATATTTACTGTTATTTTTACATTTCATCGCACTTCTTGAAGATCTTCAGGAATCTCAGTGACAACTTGTCTAGACAGCGTGTGCAAAAATATTACAATGCTAAGGGTTGAAGCTGATCCAAGTCTTGTAGAAATCAAAGCGACAGTTTTCAGACCACTAAAAACGTGATGCGAAAATATTACTAGCTAGCGGAACCTCTTCCAAGTATTTTAAAAATCCGATTGGAAATCTCTGCTAAGAACGGGACAGGGAGATTATTGAAGGGTTTGAAACTCATCCAACTTCTTAAAAATCGCGTGAAAATCCTCTTTCACTAAAGAGCCAGATACAAAAATCACTGAATCGCAACAAGATCAAGATGTCCATATCCTCCAGCACTCTACACATTCTTATTTAACTAATTTCGAGATCCACCTCGTTGGTTATTAACACGTTGAATGCCATGGAGACCACCGGTAACCAACCAAATCGAATTGCTATAGTTCATGCAATTAAACGATGATTATTTAAAACCATTTCTATACGATAAATAATACTACCTAATACAGCAATAATAATAACGCAATTCAATCAAATGATTTAATATTATATTTTGTCCACATCCCGTATTTCGCTCTACGAAACCGTGCGACATTCAACGTGTTAACTAACCATATTTCATTAACAAATCCAAAGTCTATTAATAACTCTTCTCTTCATCTCTCACAAAAAAAACCATGCAAACTTTCTACCCAATAAAAAATCCAATATAAAAATCCAATGACAATAAACTTATGAAAACGACTTTTTCCCGGAAACTTCGGCATCGCTTCTCCCCAGTTAGCTACGCTTTCCTCCGGCAGGAGCGAGTTTAAGTGGTCAAAGCTTGCCAGGGAGCTTCCGTAAGACCGGAAATGAAAATCCGCCGGCGAAGCCCCGGGGACTTCGACGACTCTTCGAGCTGAAAGCGGTCGCGCGCCACTGTCAAGGACGCGCGAAGGCCGCGTGCACGCTTCCTCGAGAGAGATGAAGATCAACGAACTCGGCGTACGCACTCAGAGCGCGCGAGAGGGTGTGCAACGAGAGGAAGGCGGGCCGGGGGTGGGAAAAGGAGAGCACTAAAAAAAAGAGAAGAGGAAGAAAGAGAGAGGGAAAGAGGAGCTGCACTCCTTGTCGCGCGAGCGAGCGAGCAAGGGCGAAATGGCAGCGAGTAGCGGCTGCCTGCCCCGTCTTTGACCACTTTCAGGGGCTCTCGCGTAATCTAGTTTGGTCGCCTGACAGGCGAGCGTCGAGAGACAGACGAACTAGCGAGCTAGCGAGCGAGCGGGCGAACGTCGTCGTGTCACGGACGCGTCTGGCTCAAAGTGCATTGAATCACTTTTCCTCGGGACGAGGAACAACCATTGTCACTGGTTGTTATTTCTGCGCCGCTATCTGCTCACCAATTTAGGACCGCCGCCGGAACTTCTTTTAATTAACTACTGCTCGCTCTTCTCTACTTTTCTTCTGTGCTCGTCTGGGGTCTGGTTTCCGCTTTGTCATCGGCTGGTGTTTTTTCTGGCGGCTCCCGGGGTCGATTGGTTTAATTGATCTAGAAATGGAGCGGTTTTCGGGACTCCAGGTTGCGATGATGTGGGATGGTTTGTTTTTTGAGTATATTGGATGCTGGGGATGTTTGTTGATGTAGTTATTTGGGAATTCTCTGATTTTAACGCGGTGGACGCTGTGGGAGTCACCGGTGACCCCGGATCGCAGCCGGTTTACCGTAGTTCACTCGATTTAATGATAGTTGCTCAAAAACATTTGTGTGTTATAAATGACGCTACTTAATGTGACAAGATTCAGCTAGATGAATGTGCAATTATAATAATTTGATTCAATTTTGTGTGATTTGCGTTGTAGTTCGTTATGCATTCGTATGTGGGTACCATTTTTTGGTCCCGTTTTCTGTATTTGTTTGATACATTAGTATTATCGTTTTATGATAGGATATTCTTTGACTATATTATTTGGATGAATTAACCTTGAATTATCATGAATTTGGAGATTGTTCAGATAGGAGTAACAGAAAATAGTTTTTATTGAAACTTCTTTGTTATATGAAGCTTGCATTTTAGTTATTCAACAATCTAACATTTCATATAGATTCAGGATTAAATAAAAATTCAGTGAGGTATTTACAATAAAATTAAAGAAAAACTTAAAAATATAATCTACAGACCCAAAATTTCGCTTTTCACATATCCCAATATAATCTGAAAAAATCAAACCTATATCAGTAATCTCTTTTCCCAAAAATCAGAACGTTCCTATTCTTCAAAGAGAATACAGCATTTTCCACAGATTTCATACTTCACCCTGTCTCTGCGATACAAAACTAGCGCAATAATCATCAACGAAACGTTCACATCCCCCATAAAAAATGTATTCATCAACATCCATACAAAGTTTCATCACCTTCTATTCAACTGTATAAAACATTCGATTCACTGTAACGCGTTTTAGCTCGAACCAGCTCTAAGACACAATAACAAATAAATTATTTCCTCGATGGATGGAGTGCTCGTGACTCGACGAGCGGCACGGAAGCGACGAGCCTCGTCCAGGAGGTGCTTCAACTTCCGGCGAAGCACGAGTGGATAAAGGTGTATTGTGCGCTGCTCGTGTTACGGGAGCAAGTTTTTTTCTTCCGCCTCCCTCTCGCGACAAATAGGCCCCGGGAGTCGCCAGTTACCCAGTCTCCTCCTCTCTCTTTTTTTAACGATCGTTGTGACCGTTCGCG